CAGGCTTGAATTTACTCCCCCCCCCCTCCAGGCGTTCATCATTTGAACAAACTAGAATCTACACTACATGAGGATGATTCCATATAAATATCACTAATCATAGCTTTGAAGTACTTGAAAAGAAGATTTTAAAAGGTTTCCCTATATATCCCTATGTAAAACTTGGGTCAGCCATTTTGGCCCCACCCTAGCCCCGGGGGTCATGATTTGAACAAACTTGAATCTGCACTACCTGAGTTTTATCTTTCCTGGCCCAGTGGTTCTGGAGAAGAAGATTTTTAAAGATTTTTCCTATATATTCCTATGTAAAACTTGGGTCAGCCATTTTGGCCCCACCCTTGCCCCAGGGGTCATGATTTCAACAAACTTGAATCTACACTACCTGAGGATGATTCCACATGAGTTTCATCTTTCCTGTCCTAGTGGTTCTGGAGATGAGGATTTTTAAAGATTTTTCATATATATTCCTATGTAAAACTTGGGTCGGCCATTTTGGCCCCACCCTTGCCCCGGGGGTCATGATTTCAACAAACTTGAATCTACACTACCTGAGGATGATTCCACATGAGTTTCATCTTTCCTGGCCCAGTGGTTCTGGAGAAGAAGATTTTTAAAGATTTTTCCTATATATTCCTATGTAAAACTTGGGTCGGCCATTTTGGCCCCACCTTTGCCCCGGGGGTCATGATTTGAACAAACTTAAATCTGCTCTACCTGAGGATGATTCTATATGAGTTTCATCTTTCCTGGCCCAGTGGTTCTGGAGAAGAAGATTTTTAAAGATTTTTCCTCTATAGTCCTATGTAAAACGTGGGTCGGCCATTTTGGCCCTACCCTTGCCCCCGGGGTCATGATTTGAACAAACTAGAATCTACACTTCCTGAGGATGATTCCACATGAGTTTCATCTTTCCTGTCCTAGTGGTTCTGGAGAAGAAGATTTTTCTTATATATTCCTATGTAAAACTAGGGTCGACCATTTTGGCCCCACCCTTGCCCCCGGGGTCATGATTTGAACAAACTTGAATCTGCTCTACCTGAGGATGATTCCACATGAGTTTCATCTTTCCTGGCCCAGTGGTTATGGAGAAGAAGATTTTTAAAGATTTTTCCTATTATTCCTATGTAAAACTTGGGTCGGCCATTTTGGCCCCACCCTTGCCCCGGGGGTCATGATTTGAACAAACTTGAATTCACACTACCTGAGGATGATTCCATATGAGTTTCATCTTTCCTGGCCCAGTGGTTCTGGAGAAGAAGATTTTTAAAGATTTTTCCTATATATTCCTATGTAAAACTTTGGTCAGCCATTTTGGCCCCATCCTTGCCCCGAGGGTCATGATTTGAACAAACTTGAATCCACACTACCTGAGGATGATTCCACATGAGTTTCATCTTTCCTGGCCCAGCGGTTCTGGAGAAGAAGATTTTTTAAAAATGCCATTAATTTTTAACAAATTCATGATTATCTCCCCTTGGAAAAGGGCGCAGCCCTTCATTTGAACAAACTTGAATCCCCTTCACTCAAGGATACTTTGTGCCAAGTTTGGTTGAAATTGTCCCAGTGGTTCTTGAGAAGAAGATGAAAATGTGAAAAGTTTACGACGACAACAACGACAACGACGACAACAACGACAACGACGACAGACAACGGACAAATTTTGATCAGAAAAGCTCACTTGAGCCTTCGGCTCAGGTGAGCTAAAAAGGTGCCCAGTGACGAAAATCCTATTTCGTGGGGGTAGGGGTGGGGTGGGGGTTAAAAGCCAACTTTTTCCAATGCCAACTTCTTTCAGTACCAATTTTTAGCCGGGCTTATTGCTCAAAGAGCAATAGCCGGCTTATGGGATCCTGTTCAACTTCCTGTTCAAGCAGGATGTTGACCCGGTGTAGGGTGGTTTCGCGCCAATTACGTGTTCGCGCCGAGTGGTATCGCGCTGAGTGGTTTCGCCCCGTTTATCTACAGGTAAGATATGGGTAGTATACAGAATGGCTTCCCCCCGATTACCTGTGTCAGGTAGCTTGTAATTAATTAACCCCAAGGTTGATGTCATGTTATGTGGGATAATTATCCCATTTTGTATTTATACTTTTAGTGAGGCCATTTTCAGCCAAATTATGATTATTTGAACAGATTTGATCGTCTAATTTGGAATAATTTAGGACTGGGTATTAGAATATATATATTTATTTCACAAATCGCGTTGATTTTTCAATGAAGACTGTCATTGTTTTTCAGTTGATTTACAGTATTAAATAAACTTCGAAGTCAATCAATCTTTGCATACAGACACATCAGTAATTAGAAAATAAAATAATATTCTTCATTATAAGCACTCGTATAGATAGAAATTCTTTAAAACTTCAAAGCTAATATATAATGTACATGCGGGGCGAATTCACTCGGCGCGAACAAGTGATTGGTGCGAAACCACTCGGCGCGAACACGTAATCGGAGCGAAACCACCCGCATTCTGTTGACCCAATAGTCGCCAAATTAAACTGACGTTCTGAAATATAGTGTATCTACTTGTAATCGCTGTTGAAACAATTTATACTCATAATCTGATTAATTAAATGTGAATATAAACTGTACTGAAATTATTATTGTGCAGTTATCAAAAATACATTTGTTCTTAGTAGAGAACTTTTAACAAATTCCTACGCATAGCCTGGTTCCCTGTCCCTGTTTTGCTTCGTTTACTCTGCCCTCGTCACTGCCTCGGCAATGGTGAGACAGGGTACCAGGCTAAATTTTCCACTCATTCGGCAAACTTAATCAGCCGAGGAGTCCCTAATGATGCAGGTGTAAGGCCTACACAGTGCCCCCCTAGACATCGCCAGATTTCGTTTCTGGAGATAAACAAAGAAGACGCCATATTACACAAGGTATTAGGTATACGCGATTGCGGTATGGCGTTCTCCATGGTCAAATTATACAGCTGGTACAACGAAACTTATGCGGAAATCGGAGACTGCCGTACAATCTGACCACGTTTTAAAGTTTGTGTATGACAAAGATGTGCAGTTTATAAGGGGAATTGTGCAAGCCTCCATGCGAGACCGGAGCTACAGGTAGCAATGCCCAATGATTTTTAAAGAGTCAAAAAATTGTTAGTTTTTTATGTCCATTGTGTAAAGTATGACTCACTGATTCCATATCAAAAATCATTTCTTAAATCGGGTGAAAATTGAGCTTTTAATGAATGTTTAAAGAATGCAGAATTCTTACAGAGTTATCCATCTTTCCGAGGAAAATGATTGGAAAGTGTACATCAGCAGATTAAAAGCAGATAATGCAGGAATACTAGATCAAAACAATTTTAGAATATAACCTATGTACCAGTTTGTTAATTTTATCTGAAATTTCATAATTTTCTCGTGCCACTGTTGAGACATAGAAGAAAATATGACACAGAATGTGAAATGCAAGAGTTGTCTTCCTTTGTTTTCTTTATTTATACAGAATAGCTTATGTCTCATTATTCGTATGCTGTGTTGTCATTTAAAGAAATAAACTTAGCAATAAAAATCAAAGTATGATTATAAATGAAGTTTTCATTTGACTTTACTGTTCTCTTCACCAATGTAAGTCAATCTTGAAATTTATTCTTGTTCACTTTGAGATGAACCCTACTTTCGTTTTCGCGCACGAAATAGTCTTTGAACGGAATTTCATTATTAAAATGCTTCAGGATAGTTCAAAAACAAGAATATAACATTGTATCAGCTTGACAATGAAGTAAACAGACCATCAGACGTTCACTTCACGTTGTGTACATTTTTTCTACACACGTGTTGGCTGGCTGCTACAATCCGAATTTGCTCCAATAGGCCTTAGAAAATTCGTGTGGCGAACAAGAACGGTTGAATACTTGCCTGTAAGTGATATGCATTTGTAGTGGTATATCAGAAGAAGCTGTTTTTGCATGTTTTGACACTGTACTCGTCCGTATATGAAAATTAGAGATTTTTAAATTTTTCAATCTATTTTTAAAACGACTAATCGCGCCATACTTCAAACATTCAGGGTTGGTAATGCTAGGGGGCATCTCAAACTTCATAGAAAGGTCATCAAAACGTTTGAAAACACGAGGGAAAGTAGTGTATTAAGCCGTACTTTTTAAGCTCTTTTTTGATACGGAATCAAAACGAGGCTGAGGAAATCTGGAAAGTTATCTCCCCCTTGCTTGGGCATTGCTACTACAGGTTAGCCTACTGTAAGTTCATCCCATTTCTTTGAGATTTTTGGAAGAAAGAAAAGTTGTTTTTTTTTTTAAGTCTTTGCCTTGCCAATGACCAAATAAATGGTTGACTACAGTATCTGAAGAAATTTTAAGGAGTTGAATGGATGTCATACAGACCTCTGCCTATGGCTGCTAAATCAAAGCTTTACAGTTTTATGTGAAGAATTAAAAATATATAGGAGTATGTAAAGAAATGTTGTAACTGTAAATGGAAGTAACTTTTCTCTATTTTGTTCAATTATAAAGTATGAATTTAGACCCTCCAGCCCCTGCATGGGTTTTAGTTTCCAATTTTTATAGCCATAAAATGTCTTGGAGTTGTAAAAGGGGTTTTTGAAGAAAAATAGCTTGCACCCCCATCTTCAATAGAACTCCATTTTTCATAATATTTATTTTTTTTTATCTCTTGAAGAAAAAAAAGATGTAGAGCAAGTTATTGAGTATATTGTTTCTCCAAGGATGAATCCAGGATATGTCTTTGTACTCTCATGTCATCCAGAACTTGTGAATTTTTTCCTCATTTTCCCATTTATTTTCCCATTTATATATATTTTTATTTAAAAAAAATTAAATAAGACACTTTCACCTTGTTATGTTATTTTAAAAAGTTGCAATAATTTTGAAGCGATATGAGCAAAAATAAATCGATAAAAATAACCTATTGCAGATTTATTAAGAACAGGTGCATGTGGTGGATTTTGATCCGCTCCCGTATAAAACAAAAATGGCGTCGTACAGCAGACGCTTCTTACTCGTCATAATTTTCGTTAAATAATGCAAGTAGAAAAATTACCATGGATAATTTCGTTTAGTATCATTGCATGCAGGAGAATATTCATTTGATTTGCACCAAAACATGACTGATTCTGTCAGGAAAATGGAAAGCTAGCCGAAAATTCTATGGCATGTCCTGTCGCACGACTGCTTTTTTGTGCGTTTTCAAAGACTTGATATATCAATGGTGAGTTTATTTATTCTAAACAACTTTTTCTTTCTCCGAGACGATTTGGGGTTTGGAAAAATTGTGTAATTTATGTATTTTGCAAAAAATTTACAAATAAATACCGTTTGACAGATTTTTAAACGTAAAAACGAAAATCGGCAATAATGGGTACTCGGCAATAATGGGTGTACTCGCACGTTATATGTTTTATCCTGCCTATGCAATAAATCCAGAACAAACCTCTTTCCGAATTTCCTTGACTGAAAGTGTCTATGCAATGTCTTAATACATAATAATAAATTACTTTACAATTCTTTTTTTTCTCTCTCCACAATTTTCAAGTTTCCATGTAAACATGCTTTTTACTTTTAAAATTGATAGTATCAGATAATATAAGTAAAATTCTAGGTGGTTATTTTTTTTTTATTTTATTAGATTACTCTTGGTTCTAACTAAACAGTTGAACAGAGTACCTGTGAATGTGTAAATGGGATGGACAAATGTCACCATAAAGCCAGCATTCTTCTCTATGGGTAATTTATATGCAATTTATGTAATATGTAAATTCACTTGGTCTGTTTTAGGTATGCTTTACCAAATTTAATGTTAAATAGAAATTATATCAAAACATGCACACCAATATATATACCCGGTATATACAAGTGTGCAGTTCACCATGTGACTAGGTACAGGGTACTATTCGTGCCCTGGAACCTCCAAGTCCACTACCTTGGCATATATAAGCATACTTGTAACTATAAAATCTAACTTTAGGCCCCAAGACTATAATATAACTTAGTAAATTTATGGAACATGTTGATACAGGTACAAAAATGTCAGCAAAACTGATGTACGCCAGAGTTGGATTAAGCATCCAGAGTGCGCCACCTCGTCAAACTAAGACGATGGAAGAACTTTTTCCTGCACCTGACAGGTTTATAAATTACAGGTATGCATTTATTATGACTGTTTCATGAATGGTGCAAAATATTAAAAAATGACAGTACCCCAAAAGTGAAAATATAAAAAATAGAGAAATAGCATATTTTTTATGGGCAATATACACTTTTTTTCAATGGATGGAACTGTATCTCTCTGGTCGTCCATCCTAATTTTTTCAGACCAGCAAGCTACAGATCTGCAGCTAGCATGGTATATGTAAAACCATTCAGTGTTGTATTATGCTCCATTTTTCAACTTTTGTCAAAAATTACTAGGGCAACAAATAGGCCAGTCAATGATAGGGACAGGGAGTTCCTATATCAGAAATTGACAACTGTAGGGAGATTTTCAGGTTAATATATCTGGTGTTTTATTTTAGTGTCACATTGTTTACAAGTTTATTTTATTGTTACTTTTTTGAAAATTTATACTGTGATAGGATAGAATGCATATACACACATGTATATATATATATATATATATATATATATATATATATATATATATATATATATATATATAATTATATATATATATATAAATTCACAAAACACCTAACTAACTCAATACACCCGGACTTTGGACTTCAGATATTTAATGGCTTATTTGACATTGGACTGAAATTCTGACAAGATGTGCAGTCTTTCCATTCTTTTTGCTTTTTTTGTCTTTTACATGTTTAGTTTTGTTCTTGTCTCTTTTGTTTTTGTGTTGACTTTGTTTTAAACTTTTAATTATACATTTATACTATCAATTTCAATTCAGTGTGAAGTTTTGCATCAAGTCATAATCTTTTTTGACAGATGCATTCAGCGTAAACAATTCATGTGATTGATAAACTCATATTATCAACCTTGACACAGAAATAGTTTGTTGTACAAGCAAACAATCAGGGATTAGAAGAAAGTTCCAGTCGTAAAGCTTACGGTTAGGAGGCGTATACTATTTACCTTGAATACTGTCAAACTAGAAGATCGTGACGTAATATAAAACTTCAACTCAACTGCAACCTTTAGTAAAATGTTTAAATATTATTCACCCTATTTCTCATACATACTTAAAGGGAGTTATTTGTACATTCTTTTCACATGTATACATATTGAAATCCAAAATTTATTTGAAGTAGTAAATAAAATAAGTTTGAAAAAATATTTAACATATATACCAGTATTAAGAATTGGTGATGTAACTGCAATACAGGTTTATTGAGTATTTGTTGTCTTTTTCACTGAGGGTTTAATTTTTTTGTTTAATTAAATCAACAGCAATGCATTGGATACTATCCCCCGAGCCGCCTGTGCCCACACTTGCAGTGCCTCTAGTTGAAGACCTCATCTCTAGCCAGGAATTTATTTCTGCAGAGAATCCAATCGCTTGGATGAAGCAAAAATTAATGATAAATGAGCAAGAAATCCAACAGGTAAAGACAAATGAGTTGCATAATGAATAGAATGTATTCTGTTTCATTATGAATGTTGTTTAAGTTTTAAGATTTTTGTCATGTTTTAGATTGCCTGTCTTACCACTGGTCAAAAGGAAAATTGCATGTGGTCATCTGTTAGGAAGAATAGATTAACATCTTCAAACTTTGGTTGTGTTTTGGCAGCGAGCAAGAGAAATAGGTATACTGGTAGTTTACATGCCTTTATATGCAGGGCTCGACATTAACTTTTTTTCCTACTTGTCCATTCGGACAAGTGACCAAGACATTTACTTGTCCGAATCTCAACTTCACTTGTCCGAAAATTTTCAATAAAGTTCAATAGTTTTAACTTGAAAATTAAAATTAAGTCCATTTTATTTATACATGTCATGCGCTTGATTGATTCTTGATGTTATTGATAAATACCAGTACAACAGACACATTAAACGAAATTTAATTTAGGCTTTCTGTCCTGACAATAACGTAAATGTCCACAAGTGAACCTGTCAACATCAAACAATATTCACACTTCGGTTCATATCTTCCATGACTTTTCATTTTAGTATGCAATTAGTGAACTTCAATCCCGATCGAATGTGAACACAATATTAATATAGCGATACATATCGGGATCGAAGTTAGGATTTTATGTACAGCTTCCGTCTTGAGACTACTGATTTAGCTTTCAACAGTCTTTCTTTTTATTATTTAGAGACCCCTTTACATTAAAATGCACTTGTCCAATCGGACAAGTGCCCAGCAATATTCACTTGTCCGAATTTATTTTTCATTGGTACCGGACAAGCGGACAAGTGTTAATGTCGAGCCCTGATATGTATATGTAATTATAAATGATACTTGTAAAAGCAGTTAATTATAAAATCAAAAATATTGAAAGTTTGCTCCTTATATAACAGATATCCTGTCTCCTTATACAAAAGATTATGCTCAGCTTATGATCTGTCAAAGAAGGATGCCATTATTTGGGGGACGTGCAATGAAAAAGTCGCAATTGAAAAGTATAGAACTTTTGGGGATGCAGTTGTAGAGCCAACAGGTTGGTACATTTCTTTCCTAAGCAAAATTTCAATTTCTTTAAAGCAAATAAAAATTGATGATAAATAAAATTTTTTCTTGAGCTAATTTATTTAAAATTCAGTTATTAAACTGAAGTTGAAGATAATGAATATAAATATACTGTTTGTATATTCTATTTATAACAAGTCATCAATGCATAAGAAAATCAGAGTGTTGCATATTAATGCTATTTTGAAACTTTATAATACTGTTCATATTAGATATCTGGCTACACTGTAATGGGGTTCTTGGGTCAAGCCCCAATGGACTCATTCGTCGTCCTGCTGCATTCGGATTCAGCTATCAGAATCCAGGACTTGCTGACATATTAGAGATGTCAAATGTTAAGCCAGAAATACTGGAGGTGAAATGCCCCTTTTCAGCAAAGAATATGACAATTCCAGAAGCTATTGAAAAAGTACACGATTTCTGCCTAGGTAATAATAGTGTGCATGTATTTGTTTGAATACGTTTCATGTACTGAGATATTACTTTAAATAATTCAATATATTAGTTTGGATAAATTTAAGTACAATTTAGCAATTGTTAAAAAAGTTTTTTCCTTCTGTTGTAATGTTAGTCCACAAAGCAGATGATTTGCCTTCTCACTTTATTGTACAGTAAGGAACAAAATACTTATACATGTAAATATTTATTAGTTAAATAGTTTTGTCTTATGTTAATGATTGAGGCACCAATGAAAATTCTTATTCTTTAAAAATCTTCAACATATATATTTTTTTCATATAGAGGTTCAGGATTTTAATGGAGTCAAGTCCTTCAAGCTATGAGAGAACCACCAATACTATGATCAAGTGCAAGGACAGCTTCATATAATTGGGAAATCCTTGTGTGATTTTATGGTCTGGACACCAAAAGACTGTGCGATTGTGAGAATTAACAAAGACATCAATTGGGAGATCAACATATCTGTTTTGACAGACTTTTATTTCTGTAAATTTCTCCCGTATTTACAACAGCTATAAGATATAACATTAAACATGGTGAAAACATTTTAATTTTAATATCTTAGTTATCTACACTTGCAAAATTCTGAGCAATTTCCTGCATAAGGTGATCCTGAAAATTGACTAAAACACAGCATGATTGAAAGACTTTTGTAGAAATATATCTAAATTGCTGCGGAACATGCCTTGAAATTTCATAATTCTTAATACGCTCATTTGCTCTTTCAACATGTATGCGTGACTTAGCAATTCTTCGACATAGTTGGACCTCACTGGAAAGGGAGGAATATTTAGATGTACTCCTTGGGGGCAACAACTTGTGAATAGTGAACCCTTTGTCTGCTAAGATCATATCACCTGGAGATAACTGTTCTAAGACTTTACAATGTTCTACAATTGCAACATCAGATGTGCTGCCAGGGTGCAATTTAGTAATAAATACCAAAGCACCATTAGGTGCAACACCTGTAACACTTTTAACAGTGTGAGAATTTTTGTATCCGCTGTATGTGCTGGCCTGCAATCTCATATCATTCCCTGGAACATCCTGGGTGATTTCTGTTGCATCAAGTACTATTCTACATGAACTAAAATCCCCAAAACTTGTAGGCATAGACCCTTGCACATTCGTCATGAAATTTTGTGGATGTAATGATTAGGTTCTTTAATTGTGCTCATTGGATTTAAAAATTCGAAGCTTTTATTAGTTTCCATGGAAAGGGGGGAAAAGTCAAAATTCTTGAACTTCGATTTTTAAATCAAAGTACTGAAAGTACAGATAGGTTTGATGGTTGTCCAAGTTTGAGTTCTAGAAAAATGTCCATCCAATTGAGCTAAAACCTTTTTAAGGCTAATAGGCATGTTGTGTAGATGTATGGAACAAAGGTCATTTTGTGTGCATACGCATTTACGTGCGGATGCGTTCAACATTAAATGACTTGTATATACTGAATATTGCTTTAACTTTTACACTTTTTTGATGAAATGCTCATTTCATAAGGATATTATATAAGGATATATTAATAGTGTAGATAATATGACATTGTCAGATTAGCACGAAATGATGTGCATGCACGTGCACTTTGCTCTGATTGGCTGAAACAAAAATTCTAATATCTCTTTCTTTTTTGATGAAATACATTGAAATTTTAAATAAGTCATGCATTACGACAAGTCATGCATTACTACAATATGATATATAACAATAATCATGAAAACATGTGCATGCATATGCACTGCAATCTGATTGGCTAAAACTTTAAATGGCTATAACTACTCTAGTTTTGAACCAAACAGGATGGGATTTATAACTTGCATATACATGCACATGCGCTTAGCTCCGATTTTAAAAGGACTGATACGAGTTGATGGTTGTCCAAGCTTAGCTAATGGGCATAGTATTACTGATGACAAAATGAAAATTCTCCAGTTCGGGAAACATACGCTATTGCTTGCAATAGCAGACTTTCTAGTCATTATGTCGTCCCGAACGAAGTTTGGGACGACATGTTGCGATTGTATGCATGTTTAAATACATCCTCAGTGTATCAGTAATATGATCATTTTTCTGCTAACTGTTGTTGTTGAAACGCAGGTAACAAAATTCGATGATAATCAGCATGCACAAAATTTTGCTGGCTAACTGTGACCTCTTAGCTTCGGACGTAGGAAATATTGATCCTTAGTAGTGCCTGACGCCATGGCATAAGGCAAGAAAAAAAAATGCTCAATAACAATAAAGAACAAGTATATAAAGCTCAAAAATAAAAAGATAAAATCACCCATATATTTCATCAAAGTTAAACCTATTGTTCTTATATAGAATTTAATGATGCTTTTTCATGTGCTGCATCTAATAATTCCTTATATCATTCATACTTTAACTGAAACCTGTTCTTTTCACCTGTGTGCTGTTCTTAAGCCCGGCTTTCAGTACTTTCAGTACTTTGATTTATACTACAAATTCATTACCGGTATATAACAAACAGTCGGTGGGGCAACCAGCCTTTCAATGAACATTTCCTGTAGTATAACTAATGTTCAATTGGGAAAAAGTGTGTGGGGGGGGGGGGGAGTCTGTTGCTACGTGCCTGAGATGTATTTGTTAATCATTTTTAACCACTGCCTTTTTTTTTAATATCCGTAAAATTGTTATCCTTAAAATCATGATGATTCGCGTTCACTTTAAGTTTAAGAAATATGATGCTTTCTTTAGTTCGTAGTATTGGAATTAATGTTGCAGCTGTTGATGAAAAATGCAATTCCGTGTTTATCGGTGATGCTTTTTGCTGTTGATCTTTTAAGACTTAAAAAAAGAAATTAAGATATTTTAGGAATGTACTGACACACATAAATTGTCACTGTACGTGATGTTTTTGTCTGTCTGTCTCTCTCTCTCTCTCTGCGGAGGCATCACTACAATGTTAAAATGTTTTTTAAAAAACTGAAGGAAAAATATTAATTTTAATATCTTTAATTAATGTAGAAATCACTAATTGATTGAGAACATTTGCCACACTTTTGCTCATTATTTATTTTAAAATATTAAAAGGTTTGTTCAACTTCCGGTACCGTACGTGAATAGTATTCACATTATGCAGTGTACAAACGGTGTAGTCCTTTGTCCAGATACACGTATATCACTGATTCTGATTATATCAAGATACTTATTGCCCGTAAAGAGGGGAAATATGCTTCGTTGTGAGTATTTCAAATAAAATTTGATGTTTTAAATATGAAATATATTGTAAAGAGAAGGTTGGAATATAAAGAATTACGTGAACAATCACAAGGGGTGCCCAATTTCATGGACATGCAGGTAAAAAAAATCGTCTCTATGGGAATGATTAAGTATAAAGTAAGCAAAACATCGTCATTTAGGAGGAGGTAATAAATAAAAAACAAACAGGTACTTGGAAAAAAAATCACAAATTGATTCGATTTATAAGTCATATGATTTTTCAATACCAGTGGCAAAGTAAATGAACGATAAACAGATCATTTTAAGAAAAAAAAAGTGTGTGTGGGATGGGGGGGGGGGTGCAATCCAGAGACCTAAACCGAGGGCCTAGCAAGGAAATTAACAGAGTCGTAAAATAAGCTAGAATCAAGACTTGCAAGGATTTGGGTCATCAAGAGTAATCAACATTTTTAAAACGACTCTTTGAAACAAATCTTGCATATAATTTTTTTTCTTCCTGTTAGCAGTGAAAATTTCTTGGGTTTAATGATAAACTTGCGGGTGGTCCTTGAAAATTGTTGAGAAAGCTCGATCGTTTAAATGTGTAAATACATGTAGTTTAGGTAGGTCCTAAATAAGAAGCAAGACCTTTCCAAAGTTTCAAATTAACATTTTGATGGAATTGTTTTGTGTCAGATTTCCATATACTTCTTGTCATTTTTCACTTTGTTTAGTTCAACAAGGCACAAAATTGACTTAGCAATGAAAAAAATCTTTATTACCAATCAATCTGATTAAACTCAGCTAGGAGTCTATCTACTCACTTTTTGACACAGTACAGAGGAGGATCCAGGAATCTTGAAAAAAAGGGGGTGACCAGTTTGGGGTCGGGTTAGGGCCCACAGCCATACCCAAAATGATTTATCAAATCTTATGTATAATTATATTAGGAACAAAAAAAAGGGGGGGGGGGCTGCATGCCCCCTCTAAATCCACCAGTACAATACAAAATAATTGGACATTCTTTCGGACATTACTGTAAGATAATTTAGTAAACTTAGCTCGCAAAAGACCCAATATCACTGCTCAAAATTATTTAAAAAATATTCACCAGAATATTTTATTATTAAATCTGTATTTATTATAATATATAATATTGCATCATCGTCTCTCTCTCTCTCTCAACAACCACGAAATTAAACAAAAAACATCCAAATAAAAAATTACTTTTTTGAGTAACAATTGTATTATTAAAAAATATTTAAAAATATTCATTACCAATTTGTTTTTTATCTCTAAACCGGGTGAACCCCCAATATTCGGGGAGTCATTTGAACTCACTTCCGGTGTAAAGCATGAGCAGTGCTCTTGACGTAATGGCGGGTAGTTCCAACTTCAGGTATTTCACTCATCCTAGAGATTCTAAAATACAAATAAAAGCGGAGGAATTCTTTTTTATGAGTATCTATATAACAAAATCTTGCTTGTTTATATGAAATATCTTGGAAGAGGAAATCGTAGTGGGGGTTTAACGGTAAAGTTAAACGAACAATCATAGTTGACAAAACAGTTGACCAGTCATGTCGGCATGTGCGCAAAGTACCCATTCCTATCTAAATAAATGTTCACTCTGACAGATGCTATTTTCGTAACCTATAGATGTAGATGTTTAACTGATGTCACCAACACATTTAGTCTTTTCTCTGTCTGTGTTCCATTTTCTCAAAATACCCATGGCATCTAATAGGCATAATATCAACATTTAAGAAGCAAGAAAGTTCGGGGCGTTTCATACCCACTGAAAATAATTCTGATTCATTTTTTGCACATCAAAAAAAAAAAATTCTTCATAATTATGTCTATTCATGTCTAGCTCAGCTTAGAAGTAACTATATTCAATATACATTGTAATATTTTTTTAAAAACATAACTCAAACCCTAATACATATTTGTAAGAATTTTCTCAGTTTTAAAATTGTTTCATAAACTTTTCTGAATGCCCATGACCTTGACCTCACCTGCAATCCTTATTTTGTTAAACTGTCATTATTTTCTGAACTAATTTACTGTAACCTTTTCCATGACCTTGGCCTCACTATTTCACATTCTATTAAACTGTGTTATGATTTTCTGTCTTTAACATTCACAATGACCTTGAACCCCATTTTCTTTTAACTAATGTTCAAACATTTGTGTCAAAATCCATTCAAGATACAAGTTTGTGAGTCCTATTCAACTGTTACAGTATTAAAATTTTCTGACCATAACCTCACATAATTTTACAGAATTCAGAGACAGCTTCAGATATTATCTGAGATAATTTAGATAATAGATTCAAATTTGTTTTGAAATATCAAAATCCCAGGATTAG